AGCGCAGCGCAGCTGCCCTCCGTCGGCGGAGCCGCATTGCGACGGCGAAGCCGTACCACAGCTCAGCGTAGCGCGCAGCGGAGCTGCCCCCCGTCGGCGGAGCCGACTTGCTACGGCGAAGAGAGATTGATGGCGAAGGCGAGAGGGGTGCGTGGAGCGCGGAGCGCGGAGCAGCTTGTTTCGCCGCATGGCGACAGGATTCGCGGAGCGCGGCTGCGAAGCAGCTGCGTCTGCTGTGCCGGAAGTGGTGTGTGTGTGTGTGTGTGTGTGTGTGTGTGTGTCGAGGGGTGTTCAAACCTCAGCGGTGGAGCCGTTGAAAGATCCGTTGAACGGCTGGGTAACTTTTGCGTAGAAAGGCATTTATATTAACAGGATTTTCGTGTATTGTCATCAAGCAAAGTTCGGCAGATATGTCCCGAAACTGGGACTAGGGAGTGTGTATGTTTGTGTGTGTGTATATGTGTATGTTTGTGTGTGTGTGTGTGTGTATAAAAGTGAGTGCGTGTGTGCATATTTGTGTTTGTGTGTGTGTTTGTGTGTTTTTATGTTGGGAGATTTTTTCATGTCATTTTTTATGTACCAACGAGATAGAATTACATGAACGCTCACCTTTCTTGAGAGTAGGTGCCCGTTTTCCCTCGACGGGAGCACCCCAGAACCTATCTTGCCCCACTCATCGCCGCCGCCGCCCCGCCCGCGCTGTCAGACATCGCAAGGTACACCGCCGATACGATCGGATTCGATCGGCGGCCGCCACTATCTCCTATCGAGAGTGGTTCCCGATTCAGTGGTCTCGAATCCTTCGATGGACGGTTGGTGAACAAACATAGTGGGCAAATCGTGTTACAAATTTGTACCACTTCAATGTGCGATAAATTAAGGTTTTCTGACAAAAAGCGCCTAAATTGAAACAAAAAACTGAAAAAAAATATCCGGAAAGAAGCTTGACGGTTTCAAGATTTGTCCGGCCAAAACTATTCGGTTAAAATCCGGGATCCGCCGCGAAATTGCCGTTTTGCAGTTTTGGGTAGAGCCGCGGAACGACGAAGGAAGGTGTTGCAGACGGCGTTTATATTCTTCACCGTTTTTTGTTTCTTCATCGTCCTTGGGTCCTAGGGAGGGAGTATGAAGCAGTCGGGCACAGCGACAAACGTTCCAGACAATTTCTCTTTCCCCTGACTTCCCCTGCAAGGGAGTATATATTGGGACCTATTTTCGACTCTTTCATGATCTGTCTTATCGACACATCCGTCTTGGGAGTATAGCTCAGGGGTAGAGCGATCGCTTCGCATGCGATAGGTCTTGGGTTCAATTCCCAATTCTTCCAATTCCTTTTGCACTTTTCGGCTCTGTTTGCGGCAAAAAAACGCTCTTTTGGGGATTTTGTCCATTTTTTCCATGCTTGAGAGTATTGAAAAACCCATTATTTTGATGAGGAAGGGAAGCGATTGAAACGGTCTCAAAGAGCCGCTCGAAGCGCTGCTCTCTGCTTTCCCGACCTCGGCTCTCTCACTGTTTTCACCCTCGCCGGCTGAACCAACTCTTTGCTTGGACCCGTCGCTGGACTCGAGGAACGCAGCAGCAGCGCCAGCAGCAGCTCCAGCCAGACAGCCCCAGCCTAGCCTAGCCGAAAGCCCATCCCAGCACAGGACAGACCAGACCAGACCAGACCAGACTCAGCCAGTCACCCCCTGGCAGTCTCTCAATCTCTCCACCCAGCACCCGTGCCTGATCCCCAGCAGAACCCCACCCAGCCCACCTCCCAACCCCCCCCCCCCCCCCCCCCCCCCCCCCCCCCCCCCCCCCCCCGACAATGGAGGACGACCGCACAGACGAGGACCGCATCATCGAAGCGCTCGTGGTAGAGGGCAAGCAGGCGCTCTACGAGGACATCGACTTCCTCCCCCTGAGACAGTCCCTCTACAACGTCGAGAACGTCGTGCCCGAGTATGACGATGAGACGGCGCCCTCTATTGAGTGGTGCAGGCCCAGCAAGATCTTCCCCACCCCTGCCTACTTCGACTCGCACAACAAGACCCTCGCAGTGCGCCAGGGCACGCTGCCCGACGAGACCTTCCTGGGCACCCTGATGGCCATCTGCGCCTATTCCAAATACGACCTGGTGGAGAACATATTCGCCAGTCGCCCCGAGGACTTCATACAGTACGGCATCTACACGTGTCGCTTCTACGTGGACGGCGAGTGGGTCGAGGTGATCACCGACACCTCCCTGCCCTGCGTCAAGAACAACCTGACCGGCCGCTATGAGTGCGCCTACGGCACCTCCTCCAGCCCCTCCGAGACCTGGGTGGCCTTCGTGGAGAAGGCGTTCGCCAAGGCCATGGGCTCGTACGAGGAGATACCCAACATCAAGATCCAGAAGGTGAATTCATACCTCACGCCTTCTCTATCCGAACTAACATACATCCGAACTACCCCCCCCTAACTCTAACCCCAACCCCTCTCAACCCTTACCCTATACCCCGTACCCCGTACCCCCTACCCCCTAATACTTATATATTATGTGTAATTCTTACATTACATACTTTATACACTATACACTATACACTATATACTATACACTATGCACTGTAAGGCCCTGCTGCACCTCACGGGGGGCAGTGTGCAGGCGCTCAACATGAAGGACGAGGCGGCCAAGCTTGACACAATGTCGGACACAGAGGCGTGGACGTCGTTCAGAAAAAAGGTAATGATGTGTGTATGTGTGTATGTGTGTATGTGTGTATGTGTGTATGTGTGTATGTGTGTATGTGTGTGTATATGTATGTGTATATGTGTCTGACACAGAGGCGTGGCGTCTTTCAGAAGAAAGGTGTGTATAATATTACACATTATATATTATATATTATATATTATATATTATATATTATATATTATATATTATATATTATATATTATATATTATATATTATATATTATATATTA